TTCAGGATGCATGTATATGTGTAGTGTTAAGATAATTATTCACTGTAGATTTCAAACAGATGTTTTTAAAAACTTCTTAAAAACAGAAATTAATTTTATGATATGGAAATGTGTCCAGCTAGTATTGCACATCTGAAAAAAAAAACACACTGCACATGGTGGGAAAATATTAACAAAAGATATAACCAATCCTTCAAAAAAAATTGCTTCAAGTTTGCGTCATGCGTGTTCACTGTCAGAGGGACTCTTCTTTAAACAATAACAAAATGGTGCTAAGCCAAACAAGAAGGATTACATTTGTCCAAAATTTCCTAATTTTATATTTCACATATGGAAAAAATATGCTGAGATAAGCATCCTAAGTGTTTCAAGTGTGCTTCTTGATTGATTCTAATAAAAAGTTGCTTAAACTGCGATAAATATAAAATAAGAGGCTGATCACGTAAATTCAATGGAATAGAGGATGTGTATGAAATCATGACTTCTAAATGTTCATCAGTCTGAGCAATACTCTTAAAAAAAACTAAAAAATAAACAACAATGTCTGACTTAAAATGTTTATAGGGCAGAGGGCACAAAGTGTTTCTTGTATCTATTCCACGAAAAATCATCCAAAAAAGATTTATTTTCAATTTTATTTAAAATATTTGTACAAGTATAAGCAAAAAATATCAGTTGTAGTATATACCCCGTCACTAACATGAATCAGACATAAATATATGCTTTCCTCAACATGATGGCTGTTTCTTGTACAAACCACAGAGAGCATAGTAACTGACCGCCTGAAAAAATAAATCATCCCTGAGACCATAGATCAGAGGACTCAAGCATCTGGGAGCTATAATAAAAGTTATGTAATTGAAATACCTTACATTAATAAATAACATGAAATCAACCTGAAGCACAGCAGCTTCAATGAAGGGACACCACAGCTGGATGAGACAGAGCAGCAGCTGGAAAGTGTGGAGAATCACAGTTCTGAGGCCTTTCCACGTCGACTTTTTATTCTGCCCCGATGCGACTTTGGCCACCTTCATGATCTGAATGTAGCTGAACACAATCACAACACACATGATCAGGAAGTAAAACTGACTGATGGCCGATCTCAGGTGACCCTGCCATCTGTACAGGATGAACATCTCCACGGAGCATATCCGGCCTGCGGTGTAGAAAGAAAGAGCAGAGGACGCGAAAAATATAGAGATGATAACAACACAGGGCACGGAGCTGAGACTGTGGATAATGAGGACAAGATGGAGGGTGGTGCGGGTGGTGCACAGCTCCGCGTGCCGCAGGGGCATGCAGATTGCCACGTAACGCTCCAGGACCATCGCAGTGAGCGTGAACGGTGTAACAAATGTGTACACCGACAAAACAATGTAGATAATAAGACACAGCCACATCTGGATGGTTAAACCAAAGTAGCTCAGTATGAGCAGCACGTCTGTCATTATCAGAAACAGGCAGTCAGAGAACAGTGAAACGGCAAATAAGACGTAGCGCGTGGTGGTGTAAAAGTAATCTTTCAGAAAAAAAGTTGTGATCAGGAAAAGGTTTATGCAGAGAAAAACACATACTAAAGCCTGAACTAAAATGACTTTGTAGTTAATGTTTATGGAATAAGCTTGCTCTGTAAGTGAGTTATTGGATGCCATGTAAGCAAAAAAACAGACATATATCAAACAGCAGATCTAAACATAAAGGTGATGCTGCCTTGTTTTATAATCTTTTTTGAGAGATAAGCTAAAACAGATGTTTATATTTTCTTTGCTGCAGATGAAATAGTCACAAATATGTTCATTGCACCCAGTCAACAACCGTCTGAGCACAACATACCCCCTGCTGTCTTCAGTCGAGTCTGGTGGAGTCGTCTGAGAGAGCAGCAGAAACTCTTTATAGGAGAAGTTTAGATAACAGGGACCTCGTGACCTCAGTGGTACAACGTGTTCTCACAGCGCCGCCTTTCACGTTTACATTGCAACTCATAATGATAAACTAAATTTAGCAAAAAAATAATAATAAAAATGCTCACGTTCACACAGTCAGGTCTTATCCTTAGCGCCATTGTTTAAAACTAGATGCCGACATTATGGACCTCTTTACAAAATATGTTCTATTTTCAACTGTAGAGCACTGTTGCCCTTTGTAAAAAAAAAAAAAAAAAAGTGACTCATATTTGAATAAAACTAAATAGCAAAATAATATGTTGATAGTTGGACATAAAAAGTTGCCAAATGTTGATGAACTCCATCAAGAACTTAAGCCCAGTCACCATCACTGGCTGTTCACAGCTTCAAAATACTTTGATTGGTCAAAATGGGTCCTTCCTTCTGTCACCCACTTCTACAGTATCTCCTCTTTTGGACTGCAGTAATGATGTGAAGATTATTGTCAGCACTGGAGTCCATTTCAAACTTATTTCATGATTGGTAAACCCTGGAGGAAGGTATTTCTGAGCAGCTTTGACTCTTTTTAGTATGTAAGTATCCAGGTGAAAGGATAACCTTCAAACCATTAACTAATGTAGCTAACTTTTTCAATTATTTTAGTGGCCTTGCTTAATCATTGTGGAAGACCTTCAACATGACAACTCCCAAGACAAAGGTTAAGTTTTATTTAACCAAGAAAAAACTAATTGAGATTAATAAGGGAGAACAAATAAGGAAACTAAAGATGCTTTTCCACTGGCAAGTTGCGCACTAACCGGTTAATGTTCAATTCGTGTCTACCCCAGGTAGTGAGCTTTTCCATTATATGCTCTGTTCCTTGTTATTGTGGGCGGTCCATAAGCAGCAGCAGCTGTGGTCAACTCTCTGCTAATGTTTGCAGCAACACTCAGTGATGGAGAACCTTCAAGTTGTGGTTCTGATGGACTCAATTAAACTGTGGAGATTATGGAAAGGTTTCCCATCTTATTTGTGAGTAAACCTATCAATTGAACTGATTGTAGATGTCGCATGATTATATGAAATACACACTGATATCCATCCTGTGATCCAGTTTGAGAACTAAGAAGTCAGAAATGAAGGAGACAGCATGGTCCCCCTTACTGTTAGCCCAATGGCCTCCTGGTGAGAAAAAGAAAAAAACAAAAACATTTACAAATTTATACTTTTTCAACATAAAACGAAAAAATTCCAAGATAATTTTCCTTTGAAGCTCTACCATAATCAAAATGTTTTTAAAAACCGACTTGTAGCAGCGAGTATTGATAGAACCCTGTAACAAGCTTTAAAATATGAATGAGTTGGTCACTCTAGATCAGTGTTTCTCAAACCTTTTGCGGTACTCTGCTCAGTTTTTCAAATCACTAACCTTCGTACATCCCAGTGGTGCCTCCAGATTGTAGAGATTATCCCTTTTCCATTTAGGTTCTTACAGTATGAGGTTCAAGAAGAGTCAATGAGTTGAATTTATGAATTTCATTTATTGAGATTAAATGCAGAGCTGGTCCATTGTCATGCTTTTGGGCTAACACAGCAAAATGGCCTCTAAAAACAGTTTCTGTTTCCTTTTGTGGGCCTCTATCTAAGCTACGCCCTAAAGGGTTTGTCACTTCCGTTAACCTTAGCTAAGAGAGTGTGCACTAAGTGTGTGCGTGTGTGTATACATGAGTATGCAAGCAGCTAAAAAAGATAGAGGAAAACAGAATTATTTATTCCCAACAAAACCCATATTGTCTTATAAAAATTCATGGCTAGCCCAAACATAATGATAAAGATTTGCTATACATATAAATAGAATTACATTCTGGCACTTTACATTTTGGATTTAGGCAATGCAGTCAAATGTTGCAAACCAATAGCCATGCATAAACTTTTTTTAATCCAAAGGAAAAGTAAAATTCACATCCCAAGTTAATATTATAGTTCCAGTGTTTCACACTGTCGGAGCAATGAATGCTATCAGCTGTCAATTAAATAGTTTTGGTGTTGTACCCTTCTCATTCCTCTGTTAGTACCATCCTGAAGTAGTTAGGAAAATCAGGCTGTGCCGGCTCTGCTAATGGAAAACGAATCTGGCCAAAGTGGACTGAACCAAATCAGTTAGAGGAATAATGGAAAAGCGCCTTGAGAAAATTAATTTCAGTTTAACAAAGAATGATTAGACACAAGGAAGAAATAAAACTAGAATCACTAAAAAACTTAACTAAGTTAAGCTATAACAAGGCTGATCTGAGCAAGGACAGAGACTAAGGAACACAGAATAATTAAACTAGAATCAATATATCAAACCCCAAAACAACTCAAAACAACACAGTACCTGAAACGTACCAACAACTCCACTGACACACCAGGTAAAATATTTGAACATTTATTATTTATGAATCACATTTACATCTATGTTCAATAAATTTCAGCTTCTTCTGTTGTTATCGTTTTACTGTGTCTATAAATGGACAGCAGAACACGTAATGCTTCAGAGCAACTAAAAACACCTCGTCCCTGAGGCCGTAGATAAGAGGACTCAGACACCGTGGAACAAGATTTAAACAAATGTAATTAAAATATCTAACATTTATATATAAATTAAGATCAATCTGAAGCACAGCAGCTTCGATGAAGGGCGCCCACAACTGGATGAGACAGAGAAACAGCTGGACAGCATGGAGGATCACGGTCCTGAGTCCTTTTCGTGTCGACTCTTTGTTTTCTCCTGATGCAGCTTTGGCCACTTTTATTATTTGAACATAGGAGAAAGCGATGAGGATACACATGATCAGGAAGTAAAACTGACTGACCGCAGACCTAACATGATTCTGCCACCTGTACAAAATGAACACTTCTGCAGTGCATAGTGCATATTGTTTTAAGAAGCTCACAGTGACTGAAGAAAAAAAGATTAAAAGAACCACAATGAAGGGTATGATGCTGAGGCTGTGAATGATGAGGATGCCCTGCAGGGCTCTGGCTGCAGTGCACAGCTCTGCATGACGCAGTGGCATGCAGATAGCCACATAGCGCTCCAGGCTCATCGCTGTCAGAGTCAGAGGAGTGACATAATTATACATAGATGACAGAATGAAAAAGAAAAGGCACGACCATGTTTGTAAAGGGACAGAGAAATAGACAAAGAGCACCAACACATTTGTCATTATTAAATTGATGCAATCAGAAAATAATGCATTGGCAAACAAAATATAGCGCATGTTTGTGTAGAAGATTTCCTTCATAAAAAATGTTAAAATTAGCATCAAGTTAATGCAAAGAAGAACAGCAACCAACACTTGAACAAAAATCACTCGGTCCTTAATCTGTCGACCTGAAGGTTTACCAGCATAAAGAGAACTGTTGTTAGTCATTGAAATTATACATTCAAATGCAGAAATACTATTAAAAAATAATTTACTAGATGTCAGATTCCTGAATCAAAATATCCTCAATACTTTGTTAGTGACCTTCAAATTTATCTTAATAACCTTTAAATTTACTCTGATTAGCACAGAAAGACATTTTTAAGGTATTTGATGTCAACTTATCTTTCATAGAGACCATCTGCAACACTTTTCAACTTTAATGTGGCATAAAGGCTCATTGTGAGCATAAATGCCCTCCTTTGAGCTGTCTCTGTCTCTTAAACTTATATAATCATCCAGCTCACTCGTTGAAACAATGTTGTCATAATAACACACCTCTGAGCTGTCTGATCATGAGGTAATTGGAAAGTACTGTAAAACCTTTACTGACAAGATTAATCCATGGAGTTTCAACCACAGTGTAAAGAAACACTAAATGCAAAAAAGAAGTTTCTTAAATTGTTTGTGTGCTATTGTCTTTTTCTAGAAGTGATTGAATAGGAACGGGTCCCAGGACTGAATCCTGGTGTACACCTATTTGAGGCCAGCTGCACCAAACTCACTATGACTGATTTTTATCAACCCCCCAACAGGAATGCAGTCCAATATTTGGTGGCCGTGGCCTAATTCCTCCACCACACTCCCAAGAATTGAAAACAAAAATCAGCCCCAAGCCAAGCTTTGGCCTACAATCATGAAATTTGGTACACATGTATCTTGACAGGACTCACAAAAGAGTCTCTTGGAGCCATGGTCCAAACCCCACAGGAAATCGGCCATTTTGGATCAAAGCCACTATTTTGTTTCACATGTTGTATCTGAACAAACTCCTCCTATAGCTTTGGAGATGCAGGCGTCAGAATCAGTCAGCACAGTCCTTAGACATTGAAGATCAAACATTATAAAATTCCTTTGGCTAGATCAAAGTATATGGATATGGCAAAGCTTCAAATCTTACCATTTGCCTTAAAATATATAGGTGGTATAACATTCACACATGGGCTCCCAACTGCCTCAGACTTTGTCTGTCATAACCAACCAGCACTGATCAAATTCACATCGTCAGTTCGTGACATCACCATTGCCCTGTACCCTTTGAAAAGGAAGTCACCTGTTTTCTTACTGGTTCACTTCTGTTGACTCTATGATTCATACAGATTTGAACCTGTGTTTAATGACGTAGAACAACATAATGTTGAATCATCTCAATACTAGCTGATGCCTGAACCATGTGTGCATGGGAGAATATGGCCAATTCCAATCCCTCGCCGTTTGCATATGGTTGGCTCTAAATCACACATCATCCGATTTGCACCAAACTGGATGTAAATGACCGTGGTGAACCTCTGAAGATGCCAATATGGGAATTTGACTCCAGTGCTCCCCCGGGTTATTGGAATAGTTATATCTCCATGATACAATTCAAATCTGCACCAGATTTTTGGTGTGTCAATAGAGAATACTGCTAAACACATTGGTGTGCACCGCCTAGCTGACCGATGCAGGAACTGCATGAGAGAGTTGACGATGAGTGGGTGATATTGCTGAAGCTCCCACAGTCGTCACGAGGCCGGAGTGGCGCGGAGCTGTGAGGGCCTTCAATGCTGCCTGTAGCCTTAATTTCATGTTGTCTTGGGTGGGTGGGTTTAACACAGACACATTGTAACGTGTCTGTGTTAAACCCAGTCTCTCTTTTAGAAAAAGCAAGTGAATGAGCTACTGCTTGGAAAAATTTCATTCTATAGACATCTTTTAGGGATTTCTGCAAAGTCAACAACACATAGCAACTGTCCACTGTCAATTGTATATGTAATATGTAATTACAGCTATTATACCATAAGTTCCAAACACAGAATTACAGCAACACCACAAGAAATAACGTGTATTTGTTATTTAAAGTCTCTCAGGTTTGCTGTATTTTTCTTCTTTCATGTTATGCATAGAACCTGAGCAAGAGTTGTTTTGTGTCAGGTTTATTATTCATTTTGATTGCACTGTTTGTGTGTACAGCTATGGGAAGCACAAATGGATAGAGAGAATAATGTTGCAATAATGTTATTTTTATTTGATTTTTTTCTTTTTGATTTTGGGTGCATTAGAGAACACAGAAAATACAACAGTTGAAAATATCTTTAGTGTGACGTTACTTTTATTTCCCCCAATTAAAAAAAAACTAAGATAGGTGTGTTTTTTAACTACTAGATATTGTGCAACTAAAATGTCATGTCCATTTCTCTACTCTATCACATTCTTAGCAAATGCTCGCAAATGAAACATTGGAAAAATAAAACTACTCTATAATATTCATGGTATCCTACAAAAATGTCAAAATTAAATTTTAATTTTGATACACAACTCACGTTTCTTTACTTTGAACGATACAAACATTAAGTTTCCACACATAAAGATTCTAAAGACAAAATATGGTGTTTTTAATTATTGAATTCAAAGGTTTCATATTTAAACAAGTCAGTTGAAATGTTTGAACCTCATTGCATATTATACAGCTTTAAAAGATATTTCTAGGCAAAGATTTGCTGTTCCAGAATCACAGTTTTAACATGTTGGCCTTGAATGGGCAGCAGAACAGCCAGTGTTTCAGCGCAAGTAGAAACACTTCGTCTCTCAGGCCGTAGATAAGAGGACTCAGACATCGAGGAGAAAGAATAAACAGAATATAGTTAATGTATCTGACATTTCTAAATACATTGAAATTAATCTCAAGAATAGCAGCTTCAATGAAGGGGGTCCACAGCTGGATGAGACAGAGAAACAGCTGGAAAGCATGGAGGATCACAGTTCTGAGTCCTTTTCGTGTCGACTCTTTGTTGTTTCCAGATGCAGCTTTGGCCACTTTTATTATTTGAACATAGGAGAAAGCGATGAGGATACACATGATCAGGAAGTAAAACTGACTGACCGCAGACCTGACATGACCCTGCCACCTGTGCAAAGTTAAAGATTCCACAGAGCAGATGATGTGTTGTGTGAAGAAGCTAAAGGTGACTGAAGAAAGCAACATAAAAAAAATCACAATGTAGGGAATAAAACTGAGGCTGTGAATGATGAGGACACTCTGCAGGGCTCTGGCTGTGCTGCACAGCTCTGCATGACGCAGTGGCATGCAGATAGCCACATAGCGCTCCAGGCTCATCGCTGTCAGAGTCAGAGGAGTGACATAATTATACATAGATGACAGGAGGAAAAAGAAAAGGCACGACCATGTTTGTAAAGGGACAGCAAAATAGCTCAAGAGCAGCAACACATTTGACATGATTAAATATACACAATCAGAAAATAGTGTGGTGACAAATAAAATGTAGCGCATGTTTGTGTAGAAGATTTCCTTAGTAAAAAATGTTGCAATCAGCATGGAGTTAATGCAAAGAAAAATACCCACCAGAATCTGTACAATTATCACCTGGTCATTAATTTTTCGCTTTGAAATTTGACCACCAACAACAGAGGTGTTGTTACTCATTTCAGTGCTAAATACAGAAAAACTCTCAGAACCTTAAATCATTTTTTTAACTCACTCTGATTAGAACAAAGTACATTTGCAGTGTTCTAAGACACCAAATCATTTCTTAAACAGTTCCTTTCCAACTCTGATGTGGCTTCATGGCTCATTGTGAGCACAAATGCACTCTGAACATTCTTTGTAAACCTTGATATGCACATAGGAATCACGTGAAAACAACGTCGTCATGGCAACACACCTCTGGAGTTCATCATCATCACACAACGGCAATCATCATGACGGAAATCATTTTTAGCTTTTTTTCAACATTAAAGTTAAAAGCTTAGCATTTTGTTGGATTTCACCTACAATGCAATGAAAACTTAATGCATATAAAGAGTTAAAGAGAGAGACGAATCACTGCTACTGAATGGTGTGCTGTCATATCTTTAGCACTGAACCTAATTAACATGCCTGATGCACACATTTATTTACAAACTGTCAGATCCTGGTTGTTAGTTGTTGATTCAAAACAACTACCAACATTTTAGTTGTTTTGCCATTTTGATTATTTGATTCAGCTCTTTCTATGATTAGATCAGCCCTATTTCTGGTTTTGGGACAATGGTGTCAACAGTGGTAAGAATTCATCCCTAAATCTGTGGTTTCCCCTGCGACAGACTGGCGACCTGTCCAGGGTGCACCCCGCCTCTCGCCCGAAACGTTCACTAGAGAAAGGCACCAGTACCCCACCCAACCCCACTAGGGACAAGGGTGTACAGAAAATGGATGGATGGATGGATGGAATCAGTGGGTTGCTAGTTGGATTCCCACTGCATTGGCCTCTGTTGGTGAAGTGTCCTTCAGCAAAACACTTCACTCCCCATGCCTGCTGGTGGTGGTCAGAGGGCCACGTGCTCCTGTGGGGTTTTTTGTATCTTTTTTATTTTAATCTAAAAAAAAAAAATCATATCACAATGTATGATTTTTTAATAATTTTACTTTTACTGCTGCAAATGAACACCTGTGGAAATCAATGTAAATATGTGGTACAGTAGTTTTTGTTTTCAATTACAGAGGTCAGTCGTTTCCTGTAGTTTCTCACCAGGTTTGCACTGAAGCAGGGATTTTGGCCCATTCCTTCACAGAGATCGTCTCTAGATCAGTCATGTTTCTGGGCTGTGGCTGAGAAGCACAGAGTTTGAGCTCCCTCCAAATATTTTCTGTAGGGTTTAGATCTGGAAACTGGCTGATTGGCAGGTGTTCAAATACTTATTTGCAGCAGTAACACACAAGTAATACAGTAATTATTTAGAAAAATCATACATTGTGATTTCCGGGTTTTATTATTATTTTTTAGATTATGTCTCTCACAGTGGACATGCACCTAGGATGAAACTTTCACACCCCTCCATGATTTCTAAGTGGGAGAACTTGCAAAGTCGCAGGGCGTTCAAATACTTACTTTCCTTGCTGTATATAAAGAAAGTGAATATGGATGATGGATAAAGTATATAAACTAAGGTAAAAAATTCAAACAAATTGAGAAAATTAATTGTCCAATAAGTAGGAATTAATATTTGATATAAAGCTTGATATAAAGTCCAAAATAATTCATAAAGGAAATTAATATTGTTTAGTTTTACCAGCATGTTTCATTTGACAAGAAGTAAAATGTATGTTTTTGGTGTGACTGAGAGGGAGACCTGACATTAATCTGATGGAGAATCGTTTAATGGAGCTCCAGATTAGTGTGATGGCAAAGAGGCTTTCCAGCCTGAAAGACACAAAGTGCAAATGCATAAGGCTGGTCAGCATAAGACGGGTTTGATTGTGAAACAACCAGTAACGATTTTATTAATATTATTAATAAAATAATAAAGAATTTTTGACATTCTTTATTTTGACAAAATGTAAAAGAATAATAGTAATTTACATTTTTTCTTTTTTCTTTTTTTTGTTGTTTCTACCTTGGATCAAGGCTGACCTCAAACCTAACCTTTCACACTTATTCCCCACTTTGCGTTTATCTGTCACATAAAATCCCAGTGAAATTGGCAAATTGCAGAGAAGCTTAAGGGTATGAATACTTTTTCAAGCCACTCTTAAGACAACCAGAAGGTAAACAAAAAATAGTGTATGTGTTTAACTTTGGCTGTGTATTTAGAGTCTTGTACAGTTGTAAAGACTTTAAGGTGTCATGGGGCAGAGTTAGACTCTGAAGATCTTGCTTTGTTTTTCAACCAAAGTTGTTTTTGTCCATGCAATAATGATGATAATAATTAGCCTGTTGACTGTGCTCCTCTGTGTGTTAATAAGCTCCTCTGAAGCTCATTAAAGCGATGCTTAAAGATTGTCATTAATTATTCAAAGAACATCCTGTTTACCATCTCCAAACATGAGAAAAACAACCTGGACATGAATACAAACAAGAACAACTTTGTATGCTTGTAGTGTTTTCATAAAACATATTTTAAACAAAACCTTTGCATTATTGGTCATTTGAACTGATTGAACTTAAAAATAAAAATTAAACATGTTCAAAATGAGAATTTCATTCATTGGTGAAGACAAATAACAACCATTCTTTTGTTTTTTTCCAGGTCAGATCAATTAACAAGTATTTTATATATTTTTCTAAAAAATTAATTTGATGCACAAGTTTAATTTTAGTGTGGATTTTCTATTATCCACGAAAAGTGAAATTCAAACATGTTTTGGTTGCATCATGCGTTGCCCACACTCCCTGTGTTTACATCAGCCAGTTTCTGGAATTATTCTGGTTGAGATGTTGACTTATTTTAACTAAGCATTTGACTTTTGGGCATAGTCTACAATTTACAGAAGGGTTAATTCAAAGTTTTTGGATTCTGAAAGCTCAATGATACTTTTCTTTTTCAATCTACCACAAGTGTAGATCTGGATTTGGTATCACTGTTATGCTTAAAGAGGCAATATTATCTAAAATCGAGCTCCAAAAGCTCTAAACATGCTTTAGAGCTTCTGGAGCTCATGTCATAAAGTTGTCATAAAGTTATTCCCTTATCAAAAACATACCTGGAGTGTTGCTTTGATTCTTTCATACATATTTGAGAAATCCTTTACTCTTCCATGGCAACCATTCATTTTGCAAAACACCTGGGTGGACCTAGCTCTGCCTTTAAGGACAAAACTCCTACATAGAGCTACAATTTGCAAGCTTCCAAGCTTCCACTTCACAGAGCAGCTTTCCCCTGTGAACCCCCACTCAACTCCTTCAGACTAGCCAGCAGCAATTAGCAAACACCCGGTTGAACTGCACATCTGCTGAGCTCTTTATAGGAGCTACTTGTCAGTGCAATGCTGGTAAAGAAAAAAAAAAAAAAAAAAAAAAAAAAAAAAAAAAAAAATTTTATAAGGGGTAAAAAAGGGGGCAATTTTGGGAAATTTCTCGAAATGTGGGATTTACAAAAGGGCAG